CTGTGGAGCTCTTGCTCGTCGTCGTTGTCGTCGCCTTCGTCCGATTAAACGAATCGAGATATCGCTTCGTGATGCGATTACGAGTCCACCATCACATCCCTGGTATACACGCGGTATATCGATCGAAACGGTGTCACGCGTATCCTTCCGGGTGGCGAAGCGTTTTGCCCCTGTCGCCGAGAATTAACGTCACCTCTGCCCTCAGACGTCGGGGGAGGACGAAAAAAGTTTTCGTGTTTCTCCCTGATTTTCTGAATGAACGCCCGCCGAAAAGATTTTAACGTCAGCGCAAAGCGGATGCCATTTAAGCCGGAATGATCTCGTTAGTATTACTGTATAACAAAATAAACAAATAAACTAAATGCGGCAAACTGCGTGTTCAACTCTAATAGCAGTGATTTGTTGAAAAATTCAAGATAGTCCTCACTGTTTAAATAAGATAAAAAGGAAACAATTAGCTAAAAACATAATAAATGCAAGCATCAGCTATTATAATATTCGGGTCGCTTTTCGCTCGAAGGTATACATTCTCGGGGATGAGTTGTGTCTCGGGGATAAAATCGTGCAGACGCGGGAAGAAGTGGCAGCTCGATATTTTAATAAAGAATATTACGAGGCGTCGCTCACTTACTTAGTCACACCGAGCGATTACGATAAATTAACAGCAGCTTATTTCCTTCCAAAGAGAATATCCAGAAGAAGATCTCTGCCGTTCCCCCACCGTTTCCTTTATCTGCGATCTTTCTTACGGCCTTTAATTACCGATTTAATTAGTTGGACGATACTCTATCACGGGATTGTCAATTAACTGATTTTAATTTCAATTCCGCGAATCCCTAGTTTAATCTCGATCATCGTATGTGGTTCAAGCAATTAATATTTTATAACAAACAGCACTACACTAAAACAACAAAGTTTTGTCCCAAGAAATTAAATTAGTGGAGATATTTTTTTTTCTTAGCCAAACCTACACATGTAAAATGCGATTTTTAATTTCGCAGCAATAAAGAGTCCCAATTATAATTAAATCTCGCATTCAAAATTAAAATTAGAGAATACGGTGATTATGTTCTCTCTCGTTTACGAAATACCTAGACTGGAGTTTTAAAATTCGCGAACAATATATGCACACACAAGAGCATCTAAAAAGCGCCGTCTAAAATATGCTGAAATAATGCATATATTATGCATCCCGCGATAAAATATGAATTTATGCGCGCGTTGAGGTGGCCCGGCAATTCCGGCGAACGCTCATGTTTCTGTTTTCTTGACGTAACACATGGTTTCTCCGCTTGTCCTGGATTTCCGCAATACGATGTGGTTCAAAGAAATAACCGCGAAATGTGTTTCAATTCGTAAATGTATATCACGTTTTATCAATATTTTTTTATGTTTACTGTTACAATCAACAATATTAAATAATTCAAATATAAATTACATTTTAAAACGCAATCAGTAAATTTTATTTTCGTAATTTTTATTACAAATTATGTAAATATAATACAATTCAATATACATTCAAGCACAATTCTTTTAAATGAATCATACCATATTTTACGTAATTTATAACTACATATATTGAATATTCCAGAGCCCATTTTCCCACCAGCCTTTCCCCAAATTTGTTTAAAATTTTCTTGAAAAAAATTTGATATAGGTTTATCATTTACCCATATTTCTTAATTCTAAGTATTAAAAAGTTTACTTAAACTTTGAATATCACTAATTTGTTATACTATATATGGTATAATATAGTCTGTTTTCACAAATGTTTTGGAAAGAAAATCGCCCTAAATCCTTTTAAAAAATTCTACAGCTACAAAAAGGGATACGGTCACACATTTATGCCGCTAGTTAAGGGTTAAAAGTCGGTTTTGGGGAGCAAGGAGATTTGATTACAAGCCGCGAATGCCGGTCGCCGACGACGATTACGAGCGGGAAAAGTACCGCGGGACGAGGATCATCGTTGTACTAGGAAAGGCACTAACTCCTAACCAAAACTGGCCCGCGCAGGTATTAAGAAGCGACGTTAAAATTTATATATTCCTTGGTCCGACCGCGAGCCACTCGTAACGGAGCCCTCAAAATGTTACCGCGTTCTCGTCTCCCTCGGGGTGAAAGAGACGAGCCGCAAAGCGATTTAATTGGCGATCGCGTCTGATGCTCGGTCGTACCGAAAAATTAGCTCGCATAATGCGCGAAGCATTAATACTCAGTGAAATCAGAAGAAGTTAGAAGAGAACTTAGGCAACGTAAGATGTTTTATCGGCTGCAGCAAAGATAATCAACCGAGAACGTTCTGAGAAATTTCACGAGGAAATTATTATAAAGACTGCTATATATTGCAAGTATTATTTTTTGTGGCATTACTAACTGCAGAAAAAAAAAATAAAGTGAGTAGTAATGTAACTGAGGGAGGATCTTACGTATAAATGGTATATTATCGCGAATATTATCAAAAAATGAAATAAAATTTAGAGATAAAAATATTAAAAATAACGATAATGCGCGGCACTGAAAAGTTAGGCCGATAATTTATCCTGTTATTAAAAGATTTCTAAACATGCACGAGATATTTTTAGAAATGTTCGCAATGACGCCTCAAATTAGTGTCATATGTTAGGCATATTGGCGAGTTCGCTAAACCGGCAAGCACACGCTCTTCATAAAACAGTAAAACTAGAAATTACCGTAGGACGCGTGTCGTGCGCGCGCGCACGCGTGGGGATGAAAAATTTGGGACATATGTATCCTACAATATTCCGGACATGTCACCGTTTAACTTTCACCATTAACCATCGTTCTCTACTTCCAGCGGTCCATCTCGATCGCGCTATTGCAAACCGAATGAATGGCGACTATTAAACGGCGACATGTTAACGTTGTACTGTTTTTCATATGTGAGAATAAATATATATTCGATTAAACGATGATCAATTTTCCCGATAAACAATATCCGAATTTATCTTTTATGTGCTGTGCATTTTATCGTTATTATTATTAATATAATTATTAATTTGTCAATGTTGCAAATAATATTTGCCATTGAGAGACATATATTATACATACAGAATGGAATAAGTCCCCTTTCCTCTTTCCATACCTATGTTGTGTGATAATTGTAATTCGTCGGGGAACCAAATTTACCCGGAAAACTCGACGGCGCCGGTTGAGAGTCACTGGTCCGAAGCGTCAGATACCGGTGCATTCACCTTATGAAAGTCATTAATCTTGAGGGACGCAGAGCCGGCCAATTAACAGGGCGGAATCAGGGAATGGCTAAGGTAGATACTGATTCCGATCGATTTCGGGCTTAAGTCGGGAACGCGCCGCGCCGCGCCGCGCCGCGCTGCGCTGCGGCGAGTCGAGTCAAGTTATCGATCCGTTGTCCGTTCGTTCCCGCGAATTCGGATGTGTCGGCCAAGCCGGTCGACGTGATGCAACGCGACGCGACGGTCCATCGATCCCGCAAATCCAGCTACCAGATCGACTTGCGTGTTTGCACGGGCTAAGCCCACGAGCTACGATCATCTTCCTGTCCACAAATCTCCTAAGACCCGCAGTAGCGCGTCCGCCACCGCTGCCGCCGCGCCGGGCCTTTCGCCAGCTGCGTGCCGGCGCACCTGATGCACCAGTGAACCGCAACTGTGCATCGCATTGCACAACGTTTCGATATGATGACGCACGAAACGGGACAAAATCATGAAACTGCATATATGAAAACTGCTTGCTCAGAGAAAGTCTCGTATATAACACCTACTCCGAGAAATCATCAATTCCTGCGTAAGGTAATTGCATGTATTGGCAATCGTTAGTTTCTTTACAGGAGATAATCGCGTTTTCTTTAGGCACTCAGCCCGCTCGCATTTCGAGAGGTAACGCGACACGTGTTTGTGCCGGCCAACTTGGATTTGCGAATGACGTGCGAACTCCAACACGGATACTTAATAAACCCAAGGCCGTGTATACTAGCGGTTATTTTTGCCTTGAAATGCTTAGCGCTCTGCCAGATATATTCCGCTGCTTACAAGTTAATTTTGACGGATTATTATATATAAAATCTGATGTTTATTTCATTTGAAGAATAAAGCCTTAATATATTATGATTTAATACGTTATTTACAGACACGAAACGAGCAAATTAAACACTATAATATTGAACAATTTTTATCGCTTATACAGCTCGAAGGCACAGTGACTTTGACATTTTCATCTTGGGATTTTCTATTGTAATTAATATTCAGCGTTATCAAAGTAATACGACTGAGGACATCTGTAATGACTACAAATAAAGTAATGTTAATTTAATCAAAATAATTCAGCTGAAATAACCTCATAAATTTTAATGATTGTGATGAATCAAACTAAATTGCAATCAATATAATTAAATTAAAATTACTCTTACCAAAATTGCTTCGATCAAATTACCTGTTATTATTATTTTTTCATTACGCGATTCGCCGAAAATTACCGATGCAACTAGACGCTATTTAACGAAAATTAATTATGCATTTCGTATCTGATTATCGGCGCGAGCAGGTCGTTCTTCACGTTAATTATGCTTTCATTCGTCCGTCCTCGCTCGGGAATATTTGACCACGGTATAAGTCGAAAATAAGTTTTCATTTCGAACAAATTCGGCCGCGCTGATTCCTCCTCATTTGCGTTTAAACGAAATGAAACGGTCAACGCGTAATTTATGTCTACGTTTTTAACCTGACACACATCTCGTGTATTTTTTTTCGCATAAAGATGCGCGAATTTAATTACACAGCTAGCTGTACTCGCGTAAAAAGAAGTCATTCTCATTAACCCTTTCGGTTCTTATTAAGTCAATTTCGTCGACGAGTCTGATTCTTTCACTAGTGTATATTTTTTTGGGGATCCACGCAACGTGGAGAAAACAATTCGGGAAAAGAATTTCACCGTCTGCACGGATGCAAACACGAAAGGGTCAAAGGTACGACTGCCGCGGCAATGAAGATGGCTGGTAGGCCTACCTTGGTCGAATACAAGGCAGCGGGTGGTCTTGGCAGCGAGTCCCGGGGGCAGAGCGAACCTGTAGGCCGGGCCCGGCGACAGCCCCAGCCCCAGACCGAGCGCCTCCGCGCCGCATCGGCCCCCGAACACAGGCCCCACTAGAATCACCCATACAACACAGTTGGTCATCAGTCATCGTCATCTCATCAGGATAAGCAGACACAAAATTATCATCAATTAGCAAGAGTCTTATCATGCACGGCGGAAGGCACCCCGACGACATTTTCAGGCTGACACCGCGATTGACGGCTGGATCGAAATCAAAATCTTTCATCGAAGCCTGAAAATCCCGAGAAGTCCTTCGCTCGTATATAATCATTTTCAATTAATGGAGTCCTTAATGAGGTTTCCCAATATATCCAATAAATGTTTAAGGTATCAAAATGTACGATTAAATTATTATTATTTGTTGCGCTCACGCATGGCTTAGTAATCAATATTAATGATAATCATCAATGAACAATGAAACTAAGTATGTATATAGACAAAATCGTGCAATAAAGTTGATAAAACGAGTGTATTAAAATTTCAAAGACAATGAAAAGTATTAGAAGATATAATTGAAAAACACAATTATTATTTCGCACTTGCGTTGACGGCTTTAGCGAAAGATGTTATCATATCATGCATTAATTTGCAAAGGTGATTAGTTATCTTTTAAAGCCAAAGGATACCGATTAAACCTTGATAAAATTATTAATATCATACTGATGCATCAATTAATTAATATTTACATTAATTCTCTACCAAATATATTTATTTATTTTTTCTTTCATTTGATGTTAAACGTTCTTGGAATTTATACTTTTCAATTGTCGGTCGCTAAGATACGCGAAAAGTTTATAAAGCTTTCCGCTCGCTCGATTCAATTACGCGTCGCACTCGTACGTCCCTAAATACACGTAGCGAATTAGCGAGCAGGATCAAAAGGTGGAGCACCAATATGCCCTCAAAGGCCCTCGTCGTTTTGCCTCCCGGTAGGTAGCTTTATTATGATCCCATATAGATATTACGCGTTGTCATTACGAGATAAGTTCCCGAAGGAGTTTATTGCTTTTTAGTATACATTCAGCACGTGCCGGACTGTCGACCGTCGACAACCCCCTTTAACTCCTCGTGCAATCGCCTACATTCTCCTGTCCCTCCTTCTCCGCCCATCGAAAATTCATATCCGAACGCGAATCGACATTTAAATATCGGACAATATAAATTTCATTGAATTTTAATTTCGAATACATTTCGAACGTTAGAGTTTCATTGAATTTTAATTTCGAACTTAAATGTTAGAATTTTTTGATAATGGAAAATTATAAGTAGCGCGGAAGAGAAAAAAGATTTATGTGAAGAAAAATAAAGTTTCTAAATTAAATCGTTTGTAAGATCGACTATAAAAATGCTGCAGTAAAAAGATTATTTCCGATTCAAATTAGGTACCCAATTCAGTTAGTAAAAATTCTATTCACATAATTTCCTAATATACAGAATTAATAGTAAGCGGATGAGGCAATACTTCAGAAGAAATAAACAAGATGTTAACAAATTTGTTCAACATTACTCTAATTTATAGCAAGCTTGAGTAAAAAATAAACTTTTCTTTGTCTTTCAAGAGTATGAGATGTGCTAAGAGTGGCTTCCAGTGGTTCTATTCGAATCTTACGAGAAGGAGAAGGGAAAGCGGCGCACAATACCCGGGCCATAATCTAAATTCATGTCTGACGGGATCTCGGGTCGGATAAGTACATCGAGCATAATGGCGGCGACTTAACATACTTTTTAAATTGCGCCTTTGAGATGCAGAACGGTGGCTCACTCCGGCTGCGGAGGTGGGTCCCTCTCCTCTCTTTCTCGTTCACTTTTGGCCTTCTGGCCTTAGTAGCTTACACGCTGATTAAGACACCCGATACAATTAGGCGGCGAAAAGAACCTCAAAAGACGCGCGTGAGGGGAAGCCGCCAACCTTTGCATGCCCACGGACGTATAGATGTGTAACGGGTGTCCACGAACGATGGCAGCCACGTTATTGGGCAGTGAAGAAAAATCATGTACAAATATATATTTCCTTCCCTCGTGTTTGTTTCAAAATTCATTTTCCACTAAATGTAATAGAATTATTATTAAGCTTGCTTTGAAATAAAAGATCAAAAGTTTACTGTTTCAGTTAGCTATTTAAATCACAGAATTTCCTGTACGTTGAATCTTTTCCAAATAAATCTCTTTGTGAAAGAGAATAGATTTAACTTTTGATATTATGCGATACACGTGCACGAATCACACATTGTTTGCTATATCGAAAGGGTTAACGCGCCATAGCGTTAATTCCGCGCGTTCAGTCGAGCTCGTCAAATAAACGAACGACGACGAGCAGCTGCGGGTTTCTACGTCACGAACGATGACGGACCAACGAGCACCTCGAAAAAGGTGACGCGCGTCATTCCACGCCGATCGATCGTCATTCGGTTGCACGTTTGCGAAATGATCGCGCTCGATGATCCGCATTGACGGCCGAAAAACTTCCACGCACGTCGAGCACGATGCAGCATGATCGAGTATTATCCGTCGCGTTCATGTCGCTTTCGAAAATCATGTAATTTCGACGAGTTCATAATGGAAGTCTTGCGAACGAGTGATTGGAAAATGGTGAAAATTTATGAACTACCATACAATTGCAGTTGATGAGTAAATCGAAAAGTATATTATAGGAAACTTATACTATACAGGAAATAAAGATGGAATACGTGACGTTTTAAAAAAATATATACCAGTAACTATATATTAAAATATGAATCAATAACAATATATTAACTATATTTTATACTTGCTGGAAAACTGATATTTTTAATCGTCGATCTTTTGTATTTTGTTTTCTAAATCTTTGTAACTATAATTATTTCGATGACACTAAAAAGATATTAATGCAACAATAATATTAATATCTGATTAATCGTATCTTTGAGAAAATATAGCAAAAATTTATTAATATAATAAACTTATTATACTACACGTTATACGTCATATTCTGAAAAATATGGAAGAGCATTGAAACTTATATGTATACGAAACGGATATACAACGAATATACAACGGACCGATATGAAACGGACACCCCGTAGACGAAGTCAGGTGTATAGCGCAACGAATCGGCTCGTTTAAGCCGCGCGAGTCAAGTCGGTGATGAAAGCCGCGGACTTTGTTAACGTTAATCCTCCTGCGGGACTACTGTGCATGCTCGGCTTCACGGCCGAAAGGTTCGTCTCGCCAATTACAAGCGTGGAAATCGTCATCTCGATGATAATCGGGAATCAGCATCACCCGTCGCGTACAACGCCATTAGCGTCCTCGCTTACGACTCGGCGAGCATTTTAACCGCTCGTCGCGAGATCATGGCATTTTTTTCAAGCACGATAAAGTATAACATTACGTAAATTAACTGGTTCGGTATATCTTGGACACCATATTAGAAATTTGTAAAATGTAGCTTTTCAGCGCTGTTACGGAATAAATATTGCTGACAAAGAGACAATTTCAAGAGACAAGCAATGACAAGCAACTCAAATTCTTGCTTCTCTATGCTACGATAGATAACGCCTTAAAATTATGACGGTCCTTCAGCGGAAAGACTCCACACATTCGAGATCTCTGTCGTGCGACTCTGTCGTAACTTCAGGATCTGATCTTTGATGTAATCCTGGAGTGCATTCAGCGAGCATGTAACGTCTGTTACATTTGTGGCAGCGCAACTGAATATGGTTACGCATCGCGGTTAAGCTTGACCGGACCCTCGACTCGAAGTGTCTCTACCTGTCTACCTGGTGGATCGACATCGATCGGGGATGATCGAGCCGCGCATGAATGAAGAAGCGAGAGGACGCGACGACTGCCCGTACATGGCGCACGAGACGAGCGCCCGGGAGCCGAGTGCGATCACCGACGAATCGACATCGTCGCAGCTGACAGCCGATCCCTTGCGATCTTAATCTGGCCGCTCGTAAGAAGGGAGATCCGGCGAGAGAGAAAGAGAGAGCGCGAGCGGCTGCAGGAGGAGGACCGGGGGAAAAAAAATCGCAGGGCACCATGGCGATCGAGCGAACCGGAATCCGTCTGTCGGTCGGCCGACCGGATCAAGACACCCTGAATAATTCATCGCCGAGATCGAACGCGGGGTCCGACGACAGGCAGCCTCCCTGCGTGTTTGCGCTGCGCGTCGAGTGCGCGCCTTTATACCCTTTTCCCTCTCATCGCAACGCGAAGCGACGGTGAAGGCAAATTTACACGCTGTATTTTCGATAATTCTGGATAAAGAAAGAGAGATAAACTATATGTTTCCCCGCGCGAAGTGACAAAAATAATCGTCCGTAAGAAACGAATGGAAGAACTAACATTAAGTCAATTTAATATCTTCGTTTATTTTAACGATTATTCAGGGCGAAATGTGCGGCTAGTATTCAACTATCTTTGCACTAGTTAATCAAGATCACGTATGTAACAAAAACACATCTCGCGATGCATAAAAGAACGCGACTGTCCCTATAGCAAGTTGGTTGCGAAAAAAAAACAGGAAAATGAGAAGGGTAAGAAGAGCGAGAAGGCTGAAACGGGAGAGAGTGGATTGGGTTGCAGCGAGTTAACCGGCTCAGTACTCGGCGTGAGATCCTGTTAGACAACGATGTCAAACTGACGATATGACGCACAAGACGCGAGACGAGTTGGGAGTACCGAAGGAGAACCACAAGAAAGAGAAGAGAGCAGGCCTGTTTGAAGTAGTCGCGATTACTAAGGCTAATCCTTGGGAATATGCTAATATAATTCTAAAAAAACATGTAATCCTATATAGGTATAAACTTGTTAAAATCTTACTAATTAACTTGCCGCAAGTTATATGTGCAATATTACCTTAGCTTTCAAACACGAAAAATAAACGAGAAATATGACTCTTCTAACTTGTTTAAACATGTGTTTAAATATGATAAAAAAATAATTTCGAATTTTGTATGATATTAAGTGTTAGATTTCAAAACTTTTTAGTTTAGCGCTAATTTAACTTTTAATAATATTATTTAATATTAATATTAAACGGATAAAAGAGAACCTTAAAAATTATATCGATGGGAACAATAATTAAAGCCTTTTCA